TCACCAAGTGCTTGATCATGGTGGAAATTGTTGGGTCTCTGTAAATAATGTTATAAGGAGTTCGTCTGTTCATCTGTCCCTTAACCAAACCAAGTCATTTTTATGTCCAAACTTTAACCCAGTGAATTATTGATAATGGCATCAAATCAGAAAAATACTAGTTTGTTTCTAGAGGGCATGGACAAATTAAATATTTGATATTTAATTAGGAGACATTTTAAAGGTTTCATATTTGATTTGTAGCAATGCACATTTTAGGTGTTGGGACCAAACAAACTTTGAGTTACAAATGGCATTGGTATTGGAGGTCTGGAAGAATTAAGTCTAAAATCTTTGCAGCTAGTGTGTAGACAGGGAGTCTGTTTTTATTTCTGTTGGCCTGGTACATGCTATTTGGGATAGGAAAGGTCTGTTTCTAAATCACACATCACTATTCATGTTACCAAAGGGGAATGTGAGAACATTCTACAAGCTCCCAGCTCAGGCCAAACTCCACTGGTGAAACTTTTTCAATTCAACCACTGAGCTTTTTGTTGAGTTGATTTTTGCCTCCCATATAACCATCTTGCAGAGGGAAGAGTGAGTGCAGTTTTGAAGCATCTTCGATGGTTTCTTCAACTAACATTTCAAGAACTGTGGCTGAGGACTCTCACTTTCTTTACTTTTCAGTTATGTTGCAATATGCTTCAACAACCCAATACAGCAGTACATTGAAATGAACTCAGCCCATTTACGTCATCTGTGTTCATAAATATCCCACTGTGATGTCAAATTTTGCAGCTCTGAATTCAGTTCAATTCAATTCAATTAAATGTATTTGTTTAGCGCCAAATCATAACAGAAGTTATCTCAGGACAATTTTCAAAATAGAGCATAGGCGAAAAAAACAACACATCGAATTTCTAAAAAAACTCACTATAATAATTCCATAACCACCTGGATTGGACCAGGTTCCCTAATTCACCAAAACCCTGAGCAAAGCATAACCCTAACCTCAATTCCTGTTTTTATCATCTATTTTATTCCCACCTATTCTGCAAAGACCCACCCCTATACTGCCACTGATTGGCTCCCACCATGACATTTTTTTCTAACCCAACCAAACCAACGAAGGCAACATACACTAGCCAAGTCAAGTGTGTTTAGGAGTGTGTGCCCAGAATCGCCAGGAAGTGGCTGTACGCAAGAAGTAGTTAAGGCATGCATGTAGACAAAAATCTGAAGTGAGTGTTTCTGACACTGGTCAGCATCTCATTTGCATGGAAGAGGTTCTTTGTTGTTAGTTAAAATTTACTTTAGGCAAGTAGATTGCTAAAGCACTTTAAAAACCAGGCAAGTGAAAGAAAACAATAATGTTGAAACCTGAGACTACACTTAGAATTAGTCAAAATATACTTTCTGAAACAGATTTAAAAAAACGTGTATTTCAGCTACCATTTCCACAGCATACACTGGTTCAGCTTGAACTGAAGAGGGGCAATGCTCTGTCAGAAAATAGCCACAGCTTGGCTCCCTCCTGAAGGATTTCAATATAAAGCTGAAATTCTAAAACTCTTCGTCTCAAAATATTTGATGCTATCAGCCTCCTCTCAGACTCAAACATTTTCTTGGGCAACAGACATTCAGAACCCAAACCTTTATGTCAAAAGCAAGATAAAGAATCCCTGTGTGAGAAAGAAACTACTTTCATCTTACAGACGGGAACTAAATCAGATGCACAGTACTGTGGTGCAGATACTGGCTCAGATCACAACGGATCAATTTTCCCAGCATGGAATTTTTTGAGGCTGTAAGATGTTTGATGCTGCGGTATGATTAAAGTAATTGAAAAGGCTACAAATGTAAGAGTCTTCGCTTAATTTGCATGTGCTTAGCTTGTGCTGCGGGGGTCATTCAAGGCTGCATTTGAATACAACCAATTGAATAAAAGAGAAGAATGCAGTAAAATGCAAACTACCACCTACACTGCCATTAGAAGCTGATTGGCACTGGGAAAACAAAACTCATGATAGCTGGAGGCGGAAAACCCCACAAACCATGCACGTAATCAAGAGTGAAAATGGTGTATCAAACATCTCTGCATAAGTGTGTATGAGAGCGTGAGTGGATTAACCTGCTTGATTTGCTTCAGAATATATTTACAGATTAATTAAAGTCATCAAAGATTTAAAAATAAAATCAAAAAGAGCTTAAGAAGCTTTCCACTGTCCACCTTCCTGCATGTACACCCGAATAGTAACATAAATGTCATCCGCTAGCTTTACCTCACACAAAGACCAGCCAGTTGGTGAAACAATGGGACCCAATTAGTCATTAAATCAATCACAAAATCAATAACTTATTTTCGGACTCAATCAGCCTGCTCCAAACTAATTAAATCCCCAGATTGGTGGACTCACCTAGAACTCCAAGCCGGTAGTTGATTGTGATGACAATGACATTCCCGTAGCTGGCCAGGATGCTGCCGTCAATCATGTTGCCGGTTCCCTCCATGTAGGAGCCTCCGTGGATGTAAACCATGACTGGCTTTAACCCATTCTCATCATGGATATCTGCAAAGAAGACAATGAAAATAAAAAGATATGAAAAAAGTATTCCAGCAAGCATTTTATGGAGAACCACACGCTTCATGTAGTTAAATTTAACGTAGTCAAAAGTTGTGACAATAGGTGTGATGTCAGAATTGTTTGTTGGGCAGGTATTAAACAGGAAGAACACAAGTATTTTATTACATATCTGAGATCAGTTGTGGAAGGTATTTTTTTTCTTCTGTTTATTTATGCAGGTAATGCAGGTATGCATTTAAAGATAAAAACCACTATGGAAAGCTGAGAATTCCTGAGTTTGGTGCTCCCCAGCGGTTGTATCGAAAAAGTCCAGTGCAAAGATATGACACAGGAGCCTGGGCTGAAAGCAAAAATCAAGGTTTTTTTTTTTACAAAGAGAATAACCCAATATACTATAATTACATTCAAATTCTATACGTAGAGAATGATCAAATACTTCTTCCACTACTGTCAGAGGCTAAAATATTCAATATAAAGAACAGGAACAGGTTGAGGCAAATCATGGTCACATTGGAAACATGGATGACATTTCTTTCTTGATGTTGTAATCAACAAACAGCATAGCTGGTAATGGGCTCTGATAAGAATTTCCATGGCTTTAACCCTGCAAACTCTACATCTGTCTCCTCTCCTGCCTGCTCCATTTGTTCTTTGCGTAATGTTCAGGGAACGCTGCAATTAGGCCAGATGAATACCTTGTTTATGAGGCTCTCCAGTTGTGATTAAGCTGGGTGATTAGTACATGTGTAGGTGGTGATTATAAATTAAGAGTGGGTCTTTTGCGTGAAAGAAGGTGGAAGAAGAAGATATAAATCCTCCCAACAAGTAGGGTTCACAATAAATCAGCCAGCAGCAGCTTCATCATCAGGAACCCCCAACTGATTTCAACACAAGTCATACAGCGTTTGTGGACATTTTTTCACATCACTCCATTTAACCCAAGAAAAAAAACTCCAAGACAGAAGTATCATCGTTGTCCTCACATAGCCCACCGTCTCCCAGATCTCATGCAATACAGTAAGCTTGGGTTGCCTGATACCGATAGCTAAACGAACCCATTATTCCCGGTCTCAGTCTCTCAAAAGTCATTTTGGCATGAGAGCATCTGCTGAGGAAAATTTCAAGTTTAGAGGGGAGCCAGCCAGCTTGTCTGTTACTAGTGTGAGAGATTGAAAGCCATGATATTGTGCTCATCATAAATTATCAAATAGAGGCTTCTGTTTACCTGTAGAGAACCAGGCTTTTTCTTTTAACAGGTTTCTATTACAGACAAAAGTTTAATCCTAATTTTAGGTCTTAATGTCTTCCCATTTGAATTTTGTGCTTATTCAAACTATAAACCCAAATTGCATTAGTACAACAACAGAGTCATGCCATACTCATCACCCTGCTAGTATGTGTTTCTGACAAAACATTTGTTTTCATTCACCAATAGCTTCCATTGTCAGCTGCCTTTTTTTGGTTGTTATCGGAGCACTGAGCAAGCTGACGTACTGTTAGTTGAGCTATGTTCATTGGCTGCGCAGTTTCAACTCATCCATGGCAGGAAACAATGGCAGTTTGCCTGATCACACACATGTCAGATTACAGCTAAACAGTACACTAAAATATGCTTATGAAACGATAGGCAAGAAATAGGCAATGCGGTAAGAAAACCTTGATTCATATTTGATCACAACTTCCTAGTTTGACCTGACCTGAGTTTTGTGCAGTTTGCTAGACAGTCTCGCTAAGAATGCCTTGTCAATTACAAGGTAGCCATGCCCTAAAGCATACCCTGCCTTATCATCTATTTTACTCATATTGTACTATAGTTTTCAAAACAGAAACATTGCATTGCATGGAAGAATACTTTAATCTAGAGATAAAGACCATAAACTCTGACATCAACATAAATGTTATTTTGACATCACCTCTGCAATTTCAAACAGGGTCAACACAATGGTGTGCAACTGGAATGCCAGCTGTACTGTATATGTTGCACCTCAGTAAGCTTGGCAGAAAGCAACACAGGCAGGAAGGCAGGCAGGCGCAGGGCTGGAGGAGTGTATCATTTTCCTCCTCCGCAAAAGAAAACAGTGAGGCAAAGGAGTCGAAAGCAACCCACAGTGACAGGTTATTAATCTCCGCTGTGCTCTGAGTGGGTGCCTCGACTTGGCTAATGTGCCTGCATCACAACTCCTCACCTGCAAACAAGACTTGGGTGGGGTGGTGGGGTAGGCTCTAAACAGGGAGCCTGAGGGGGAGCTGCGGTCGAGAACCCAGACCATCCCGGACAGATTCACTCCGGTTAAATACAGACCTGTTAATTACAGAGGCAGGACAGCAGGGTTGTGTCAATAAGTTCATTTGTCATTCAGTTCCACATTATGAGAGGCCCGGTGGAACAGTGTAGGCGGTGGAAACAACCTTGAAGAGGCAGATGCACATAAAACAAGAGTGCTGCCATTAAGTTGTCATAGTCTCTAACTGATACGCATCTGATGGACGCTGCAAGCCTCTGTGGGCTCAGACAAAACTATTCTGCTGGCTCTCCATCAAACAAACAGGCAAATTGACTGTTACTACCCATCTCTTTTGGTGTAGAGCAGCAGTGGAGTCAGAAGTCAGGAGGGAGACAGGGAGGGGGGTTCCACTCAGGCCACTTTGATCCAACAGAGAGATGCCCTGCAGATTTAGAGCCTTGTTTTATGGCTGGGGAAAAAGAGGGTGGTCTCGGGGCATCATGTCCCAATCCTGTCACTGTGGAGTGCACTTAAAATAAAGAAATCAAACTGCTTCAAGTGCTCTTCTCTCTCTCTGTCTGTCTTACTATCTGTGTGTCTCTCGTTCTCTGTGCTCTCTCGGGCCCGTGGAGCTTCCTGGGTGACTGCAGCGAATTTGTCCCAGACATTCATCACTGCCACCCGGGCCAGGGGGATAATATATTCCTTCACTGGCTGCGCTGCGTTGCACACATTACTCATCTTTATATGGGTGAGGGTGGGTGGGGGTAGGGAGGGGGATGATGTTGGGGGGTTACTTGTTTGAAGAGGTTGTATGTGAATTTTCCATTGCTTTCAGCATTTTCTACTGTTAGTGGGACGAATACAAATGGCAGTTAATGGAGGTGGTGTAAAGTGCACCCGTCACCGCCTCCACCTCCACCACTGTCCATGCCATCACCACTGTATGTCCCAGCACGCCCAAACCCACAGACAGCAACCTACTTCCTGTTCAGTACAGTTCTACTGACATGCCAAAATACAACCAGCCTCCTCTCTCCAGAGTCACAGAGAGTCATTATTTGGTCCAAACCTGTCAGGAACAGCAAAACAACTGTTGAAAACAGTATGGCGAGTACTGCCAAAAGAAAAAGCATAAATCTAGAATATGGCCATATATGACCATAGAAATTAAAGACGCCCCCTCCTCCCCCCAGACATTTGTTAAGACATATATACACAGTCTGCTTGACACAATGTGTCTACACATATGAATATATAATATGGTCCAATATCAGCTTTTCACATATTTTAAAATGTGCTAGTATGTGGTAGGAATATTAGTGTTGTAGGCATACATGTATTTCAAATACTTTACCTGTTGTACAATGACTCTTTGCAGATGACATCAACATCATTGCCCTGCATTTTTTAGTTACATAAGTAATGTTGTAACTGTAAAGTAAAAACACTATACTTTCCAAGTACAGTATTTTTGGTTTAAGGTTTCCAGCCAGTTACTCCTTTTTCCAGTGGCTTTACTGTAATTCAATAAGTTATTTACTGTGTAGAGTTTAACCAAGTTGGAGCCTATCTTGATGTTACCCATTGTTTTGTAGAGTACCGTTTTAAAGCCTTGTGTTTGGCATTGTGGCATATGCCATATTAGTTTTTTGGAGCCAGCAGCAGTCACATACTGTTAGTTGGGTTGCAGTTAGTGGCTGTTCTTGGTTTCAGCTCTCCTGGTCACACACTTTCTCGTATTACAGAAAAAGAGTATTAAAATATGTTTTTGAAAACAATTTAATTTGTGGAATAGGCAATACAGTAACATAATCTTGATTCAGTTTGTCAATCTGTCAATGCTTTTCAATCACAAGTTTTCCACACCCTAAAGCATACCCTGCTTTGTCGTCTATATCTATGTATATGGAAGAGGACTTTTTTTTTGTTCTCAAGTTGATGTTGATGTTGGTGTTAGAAGCAGGAAAAATGGGCAAGTGTAAGGATTTAAATGACTTTGACAAAGGCCAAATTGTGATGGCTAGACGACTAGGTCAGAGCATCTCCAAAACTGCAGCTCNNTCAGTATCTATCAAAAGTGGTCCACGGAAGGAAAAGAGGTGGAGACCGGCAACAGGGTCCAAGGCTCAATGATGCACATGGGCAGCGATGGGCTTTCACAGTGTCTCTTTTCAAATGAGGAAAGTAATTACAGTAAAATCTAAAAAAAGCTATTCTGGTAATGCCCTTAACACTTATTGTTCTGGGGACATAATTGAATAATTATGATTGAGGGTACATTTGATTCAAATAGTGTTCTCAAGGCGAGCACTTCTGACAAAAGCTCATTTAACGGTAAATAACAAACTTCTAGAAAGAAGGGATGTGGGAGGGCATAGCACATAAGGTCTGAGAGAGGCTGTCTGCAGTGCTGCGAGGTTTCTCTGCAGCAGCCGCTGAGGTATAGGTGGACCCACAGGGGATCCACAGGAGTAATTCATAGCCACTGCAGATGTTCAAACAGTCAGAGTGCATCGATCCTGCGTGCTCTCCTGAAAACACAAGCAAGCTATAAGATGCTCTTTATCCAGACCTTTCACTGTATAGAAAGTGTTTGTCTTTCTCCTGCAGTTTCAACATTGCACAGCAGAAACCAGACCATCAAAATCTGACACTATAACACTTAAACTGAGCTTGTAATGTAGGAACCCTTCTGCCTACATAATCAAAGGCACTGGGTTTCCTCTTTAAATTCCAAGGTGGATATTGTCTTTTTTCCACACCAGCTGCAGGCAGATGGTGCATTTTTTTAATCTGTTTTAACAACACAGCTCCCATCTCCCAAAGACCTGGCCCTTCTAATTTGAGGTAAAATATGCTACATCTGTTTGTTTGCGAATTCATTATATGATGGTGTTTCCTAACCAGCCTGATGAAACCCCAGAGGAAATCCAAGCTTTTAGAAGATCCAGACTGAGCAAGACTAAATAAATAACTAAAGAAAATGAGAAGTATCACTTACTATACTATACTTACTATAAAACCAATTTGAGGATGATTATCCTGTGAGAGGAAAAGAGGAAAAATTCAGCTTACATTAAAAATAATCTCTGGGGTAAATATTAGAGTATAATTTCATTGTGCTCAATTGGTACACAACTTCCCTAACAACTAACCAAAGTCACTTAGATTTTTAGTGCATACACATACATTGTGTAATACAGTGGCACAACCAAGCCCTAGGATTAAGGGGGCACTCCAAGTACAGCTTTAATCAGGCCCAAAGTATTGAGTTCTGACCAGAGCCTGAATTTCAACTTGAAATAAAAAAATATTAAAATAGTTTATTAAAAGCTAAAATAAACTATGTTATGCATATAATATAGTTCAAATTATTATCAAAACTATAATAAACAACAAATTAACTTTGAAGGTGGGGGAGTCAGAATGTGTTCAATGACAGACCAACAAATGATTTGGGTGTTTTCGTGGGATTTGTTGACAATAAATATAACTGATCCTTTGTTGGCACCAATTTTCAATATGGACCAGACAAAAAAACCCATAAAGGGCTAGATTTACATATGTAATAGCACAGGGCAAATTCTGCTCCTTTCATTTAATTTGCACTCCGAATTTGCATGTAATTATCACCTGATCAACCACTGCAGCAGCTCATTACACCAACAGCACTGAAGCAGCCGGAGAAGTTCAGTGGCGGATTTATCTGAGATCAGAGCTTAGAACAGAAATGATACTGCGATGCTGAATTATAATACTCAGTAATGATGTAACAAAAACATTTACTTCACTTGTGAATAAAAATGTCTTTTACTCAGTTACAACATTAATGTACTGCTGAAAAAAATTATACAGCTCAGTAATACTAAGGTAAATTTAGCCAAATGCACATTTAAATGATCAGGTTATATCACTCGATGACCATCTAGTTCAAGTTTATTAAACAAAAGACCACAACTCCTGTTCCCTCTTTGATTGCTGTTATATTGTGTTCATTTCAGTGTATTTTCCCCATGTGTTCTGAAGGCTGCATACCTGAGCAGGTGACTTGGCCAGATCCAGCCACTAGGGGCGCTATCGCGCTCAATCGGGCCGAGTGCCACTGCTTGTAAGGGAGAGAAGTAGAGACTGACGTTGTGTTTGCTACATTGTATCCGTTGTTTTGCCGTTTGTGGTTCAGTGTGCGTCCAGAGAAACGTAAGTTATGTTGTTTATTTGCTGGATGTAATATCATTGTTGTATATTTTATCTGTTTATATGTCTGCTGGTTGAGATTATATCTGGTGCTACAATGCATATTTCTAGCAGTGTTAACTATTGCACATTGCGTTTAAATGGTCATTTATGTTATATTTATTGCCACTGACCATTTCCTTTGTTTGTCAGTTAAATACGGGAATATATCCTATCATGTATATTACTTCTCTATTGATCACTTTGGGATTCATATATTTCATGCTAAGGATAATTATATTATTATTATTTCATTTTGTGGCTATAGTTAGGCATAATTGAGCTGTTTATATGATGACTGTTATTGTTTTGGTATTCTTTTTCTCTTTCAAAATGCATGATCCTTGACCTAACACTTAACTTGTATCAATTTATCTTTTCTTATCTATCATAATAATACAAAACAAGCTCGTATACTGACTTAATGCCAGGTGTAAGTGCATTTGGATACAAATAGGAGCTATTACAGGCAGAGATCAGCAACATAGTGCTTTCATTGAATGTTCTTATGGCTGTTACTTACCTGAACCCTAAATAACTGTAATTTGACACGGATCGTTTGATTTTTTGAGGGTTCCACCTAGATACACAGATACAGATAATACTCTCTCATCCCTAGTACCTGTTATCCACATATATGCCCCGACATGAAAATTGTTTTTATTTTTGGTATAAAAATGACTACCGTAATTTCCGGACTATTACTTTTTTCACCACGCTTTGAAACCCTGGCGGCTTAAACAATGATGCGGCTTAATCTATTGGTTTTTTACGGGCTAACGTCCTCCAGAGGGCGCTCTACAGGAAGCGCAAGTGCGAGACAGGACAGGTGGAAGAGATAATGCGCGAGGAAGACGCTAGTTGTTGTGTTTTGAATTCATTCATAGTTGAATTCATCCAATTCATCTCCCCAGTCATTTGTGCGCATCATGCACACATCCTCAACATGGAAAACACAAAGAACAATGCACATGAAATGCAGCTTTTAAGTAAAGGCAAATCGATCTGGCTGTCGAAAGAAGGAAATAGAGCTGCTGCACGTAAGCTTGGCATCAATGTGAGACGGCAGCATTTATTTAATTAAACATTTAAAAAATCTTTCTGTGTAAATATCTCATGTTACAACGTGGACACCTGCGGCTTATAGACAAGTGCGGCCTATATATGTACAAATTTTTTATTCTTTTTAAATTTAGTTGGTGCGGATTATATTCAGGTGCGCTCAATAGTCCAGAAATTACGGTATATCAAATGCCATATTGGTAAATGGTGAATTTCCCCCCTCTAAAATTAATAATAATCCCATCGGTCAGGCTCTAGTTCCACCCACCTTAGTTATTTACAAGCAATTATTAGTTTTATTTTACACACTTTGGGTCTCCATAAATCTCTATACCCACTAAAATAATGGAAAACAGTAACTCTTTTAAAGGGTGTGTTGGCACCTAGGAATTTTCCCAGCTGTTCCCGTTTGCTGTCAACAATGTAGATGTAAATTTACACAC